GGGGGGGGGGGGGGGGGGGGGGGGAACAAGTAGAAAGAGGTGAAAACCGTTGTCTGACTTCTTTGCCGCGTTCTGCGTGCGTTGCCATAACCCCCGTTTGCCTATCTATCTATCTATTCGGTTTGGTTACGGAGCAACTCGATGCAATCTATCCTTCTTATTATTCTCCGCCCCTCTCGCAATACGAGTACGGGGTCATGTTTCCTTCCCCTCGGCGCAATCGACAGATCATCGGGCCGTCTGTAGATACGGCCAGCTCTACTCCGTACAAGTACTGGAGTCGTGACCGGGCTCCCTGGACCCCATGACCTCATTGTACGCAGTCCTCGTCTCTATGTTGCCATGTGCACGGCAATGCATCATCGTCCATCATGGATGCAGAAGACACCGTCTGAGACTGTCGCTTTCGGCTTTTCTTCTCGGTACGTGCAACAGTTTCTGGGAGCTTGTTGCTGCTAGTGCTCGTAGTGCAAGGTCTTATTGTGGACCAGTCACTCCGTCGACAGTGTCTTGTCTCATCACGCCGTGTCTCACGCCTAAATTTCCTTTCTCCCTGACCCTCTGGATGCAGTAATATTTTACTGTTACCCATCTCTGCCTTCGTCTCTTGTCTCTCAGCTGGAGAGGAAGGGGCAGGAAAGAAGAGAAGAGAGAAGCAGGTTGATGTTCTTCATGGCTCTGTATCAGAGTCCCCGCTGACCCCGCCTGATCTTCGATTCTCTATTCTCAATCTTCTCCTCAGTCTCCATCCTACTCCATGCACTCTTCCCGTGCTTGGCGAGAGGAAGAAGACGATAGATGATGATAAAAAAGTCTCTCCACAGAGGCGACCAACGAGGTCGAGACTGAGTACACAATGTCATTGCCTAATAATCATGCATATCGCAATGTATAGTGGGGAGACAATGACGCCTGGTTATGTGACACCACCCCCGGTCAACCCACCCGGCCGCCGGACTGCCGTACTAAGACCTCTCTCTCGTTTCCTCTCCGGAACGGAGTCGGACACGGACAGCGACGACACGTAATGCTGCCTGTACTCTTCATCCTCTGGGCCAGCAATGTAGCAATGTGGGCCCGTATTGAACGAATAAACTCCCGTTCCCATCCCCCTGATAAGCCCGTACCGACTTCCTGGCATGATACCAGGTCTTGGCAGGCAGGAAACCTTTTTCTGTTGAGCCTCTAGGCTTTCCCCTTCACCCATCCTGTTCCCTTGTGGGGTGGTAAGCATCGTACCAGTAGTCATCGTGGGCCCCCCTCCTCTTCATTGTCACCCCACGGTATCACCATCCATCTACCTGCACGGGGACCTCGACTGCCAACTTGTAGCGATCGAAACATATCACAAGTCCAAACGAAGCCCGGACAGCTACAGAATACAGAGACGCAAACGAGACTTGCAAAGCAATGATGGGCAAGACTCGTGCTGGTTGACAACCACTCCACATCGTGCTGGAGCCGCGCGTCGTGTATCGAGAAGAGGGTGCACGTGCAACGTCTTGGCAGATATTCATACCTTCGCACTGTGCGTTTGCCAAGATGCCGAGTGAACAAGGACAGTGCAGTTCGAAGCGTTCTCGGTGATGGTACAAGCTCGTACTGGAGGGGAGGGGGGGAGACAATCTTGGGTGTTAATATTACTACTCGTAGTTTAGGCTCCAAACAGCAGAGAGCTAAGTACAATCACGACCGTGAGCATGTCACTTTCTTCGAGGCGCAGTTCGAGTCAGCTGACTTTTGGAAGTTTTCGAAGTTGCAATCGAACAAGGGGGGGGCCCCACGACGACAAGCTTGGCATAACTCAAAGGGAAAAGCGAAAAGTATTTTTACCCTGTCAGGATCCGAGTAAGACAGAAATGAGTCAGGACTATTATGTACGGAACTCGGCGCTCCAGAAATACTTGTCGTTATCAAGATTGAAGATTGATGGTGGGCAGGGGGGTCAGGGTAAGAGGAAGTTTATGACATCCAACCAACCCCCCCCGTGGAGAGGTGCAGAGACCATTAAGCTTAGCCGGGGTAACCGACGTGTCCGGAGAGTAATATGTAGAAGGGTGGGGAGGCGGGGAGAGGACAAGGAGGGGAAAAGATCGGAGGTATATTACATATACCGTGTACGGAGTACCTGCTCACAGAAAAGAGTACATGGGAGGAGGTACATGGGTCTTGGCCCGGTGAAACTGCCATGGACAGAGTTTTCTTTTCTGTTCTTCTGCAATCAGAGGCTCAAATTCCAAATTTCCAACCCTGTCCAAAGCCAGATATTAACGATTACTATTATTCATTGGTTGTTCTATAGGTAGGGAAGTCTGCACGACGGAATATTGCTGCCATTTCGAAATGGGAAGACATTGGAACTCGGTAGAAGCCGTGAACGGTCAGGAAAAGCAGGCCGGAGCCATTGAGAACTTCGAAAGGCTTTCCCCCGTGGAGGTCATGGAGGCTTCCAGAAAGGGTTGAGTACTGTTATTACTACTATGATACTATCAACAGAGTAATCTATCTGTACGGAGAGTATTGTTATGAAAATGACAATCTCATCCCCACTCCATCGTCAAAACAAGCTTGTTTCTTTCTTTTCTTTTTTTCCCTTTTGGCTCGTGCTGTGATCCCTGCCTCAGGCCAACCAGTACCCTCCATTCCCAGCTTGGGGGGTCACATCCTATCAACTGGCCTGTAGCGGGGGCCTCTGTGATGACGCATGGGCTACTCGAGGGCCTGAGACTTGAGGCTTGAGGGTTGAGGCTGCATCAGCGGGTTTACAGCGGCTTAGTGTACAGTGGTCTAGTCTGTATGGCATGTGCGCATGCTAGGTATTACCTGAATACCTCCATATTGATACTACACGGTGTTATTATGACTAGTAGCACGAGTATAGTTGATGATGTGGGTGATGAGATATGGGTATGAATTGATATCCATTCAAAACGCGGAGAGCCATGGAATAACGCTCATAAGAAACAGACAGGCAGACGGACAGACAGACAGACAGTCAGTCAGTCAGTCAAGCAACAGCAGCATAACTTCTGTGCTCCTGCCTATCGCACCTTCTCTCTTTTTTTTTATAGCAACCCCCCCGCTTTTCCGGTTCGTCGCCATTTCGTCATAATCATCATGATTTCTCTCCTCTTCTCCCTCTTGTCTCGACTCACTCGCATGCTATGTGTACTGCATTGAAAATCCTTTACATTTCTGCACCGGTTTCGTCGCATGTCTCTCGCGCGACTTTGACAATGTGAAGGCACAACAAGTTTACATGTATGCTCTTTTTCCAATTTCGTCCAGTTGCCTACACTCAACCCATTTGCCAACCAAGACATCTCAACCATCATCGCCACCGGAATACTATCGATGCAGCTACTGCTACCAGAAATAAAGCAACAACAAAAAATATTTAGAGCGAAATTCCCTCTGTGGGTAGTTCAACTTGAACTCGACCCATGCGTTACATCTTTGGGCTGCACTACTGTCTCGATGGTTCAATGGTTCCTATCTCCGGGCACGCCAGTGTCAGTGGTCACAAACCCAGATTCCGTCAAGAACTATGGCGTGATACGTGCGATGGAGAGTTGAAGACGAAGGGAATATGACGGCCAATGACGGAAGACCTCCATCCTTCCGGCAACGGCTCTTCACATGCTAAAATTCAATTCAGCAATATCGCGGATCCGCCCAAAGATGGGCCATCTGAAAAAGCACATCCCGTCTGGGTACGTCGTACCTGTTCATTCAAGGCCCTCTTTTCGGGCGCGGGAGCATGTAGAGCCGCGAAATGACTGTCGGTGAGAGCGATAGCAACAAGCGACTCCATGTGATATCTCATGACAACGAAGCTGACAAGGTGGCTACCGAGTGGCTGCCGAGTGGCGTTTTTACCTCTTGTCTTCTTCTTTGTCTTTCTATCCTCTCTCCCTATTCCTTGTTCTGTTCCCTTTTGACTCGGAGGGGCGGAGGGGCGGAGGGCGGAGGGAGGAGGGTTCCCAAAGACTGCCTGGCCAGAGTCTTAAGAGAGAAAGGATGACTGTGAGGAGCAGAGAGAGCGAAGGTGCCGCTTCTTGAATGCGTTTTGCCTTGAGCAACAACGGCACCAACACGTTGAGCGAGCACGAGGTATTATCTCCTCCTCCTACCCCAGGTATAACCACTGTCACTGTCATCCATTTCCATGGGCAGAATAACGAAAGATGAGGCCATTTTGACTCATCTATTATGCACTGCCATCAGCGTCTTCTTCGCGGTTCTGTACGTTATAGTAATGCACTATAGGTGCCAAGGAGCATATTTCCAACAACCCAAGCCTGCATACGAGTGCAACCCTGATGAGATGGTCCTCGCTCGACGGAAGCTTAGCGCCGTGACCGCTACCCGGAGCGCTGCTGGTCCCGTCGCTGCTACCAGTCAAGAATATGCGGAAGAAGCTTCGGTGCGCGTGGGCAGAGATGGCTATGGCGATATCGATGTCGAGTCCACAGCTGCGCAGCTGGAAATCGAGAAATGGTCGGTTCTGCTCTTGCGTTCTGCGTTCTGTACCTTATTACCTCTTTTTTTCCCATGCGGTCTTTATTTCCTTCAACACCAACACATCTCCCCAATGCTCCCGGGTGTCTACGGGGTCCACGTCGCACCGCATCCAGGTCGCGGCGAGGGCGCTAGACACCTTGCCGCATGCACTGACGAGACACCGAAGGTAATATAAAGTACACTGAGGGGAGAGGTGGAGATAAAAAGAGAAGAAGAAGAAGAAGGAAACGTATACTGACCTGATTTGGAACGATAAAGCCCAATATGTATCGGTCCCATGATGCCTAAGCCCGCAGTGCTCAAGGACAGCAAGACCCATCGCACCCTTCATGATGGCAACACCCGTGAAGCACTTGCTGAGCTGTCTACCGTGGCATCTGAGCGTTGCCGTCGAATTCGAAACATGGGACGCAGCATCTGGGAAAAGTTGAAGAAGAGCCAGCAGAGAGACGAAGTGCAGCATGGAAACCGGCCCTACCATGAATACGAGGTCATACTCACGCTCAACAAGTGTGGTCACACCTTTCACTCGCAATGCCTAGCCATGTGGTACCTCATGGGGAGATACGACTGTCCTGTTTGCAGGCAGAGGTATTATACGCCTAGGAAGCGGCGACAGATTGACCTCCCAGCATTCACCTTGGCATCTTTGACTTGATTTGCTATCAAGATGGGGAGTGAAAGTGTGAACCGGGAGGGGGGGGAGGGGCGGGGGGAAGAAGAGGCTCTTTCGATCTCTCTATTTCTCCACGCCTGTCTCGACTTTCTGCCCCACAGTAGAGAGGCCGCCTTGATAGATATCTAGTTGGGTACTGATAACTAGGGAATGAATACAAAGTTGATACAAGGATTTCTCGGCCACAAGGAGTGAATAGGTGAAGTAGTTACATGAAGAATTCAGCATCGAATCCTGATACAGGTCGTCGTGTCGGGGAAGCTGTGCGCAGAGCAAGAGGCGAAGTGCTTCCACCATGGATTTGGTCTACGTATTCCACGTCTTTGCAAACTCTACTCAGCAGACCCTGCCACTTCCTCTCACTTACCACCACCCCAAGCAGACTTGTTGTCTGGCATTACCACTTCAACAAAGAAGGCTCTTCTTCCCCTCCAGACTCCACAAGCCGCCTCCGCTTGTTGGGCGGGATTGCAGTGAGCAATGCTCGGAGCCTGTCGGGGATAATCACGGCGCGATCAGAATCGAGCATGCTATTCTACCCGTTCGGCTGCTGCAGCACATTCGGCCACCGGATGCCGCGATGGATCACCCCAAGGCTGTGCGTCTGACAAGAGAATAGAGGTGACCGCGTCGATGCTGCGAGTCCGAAATTTCTCATCGCCTGTTCCTGAGCGGTGTACCTCCGTAGGATAGGAAGATGAGGCTGAAGCTGATAATACGCACGCCAAAGTTGTAAAAGAAGGCCTGATTCAGTTACCCGAGGTCGATGTACCCAAGACATACCGGAATGCCACGGGCCTGTAAAGACTGCGGCTTTTGGTAGACGGCCACTTCCTTCCCTAGCTTTGACACGCGTCCTCCGGTGACGCCCTTGGCTACAGAGGTGTAGCCAAACTGTAGAAGCGTTATCTGGAATAACGCACCGCAGGCGCCCTCCTTCCCAAGGACCACGGCGCCTTCCTCCAGGCCATTGGAAAGCTGCTGTCATAGTAGGTCCATCAACTGCGAATGCGAAACGGGGCGCCTAAGTTTGGCCGTCCTTTCGTCGTGTAAGTCCACGCTGGGGCATTCGTCGTCTAGCAGCTGGCCTTCCACAAGTGATAGGAGACATACCGATGTACAGCACTCCATTCGTTCCTCCTGTTTTTTTGTCGATTCTGGCAGGCACTGAGTATGACGACGACCCCTGGCCGGCAGTGTCACCTCCCCGAGATAGGCCGCTTGGCCCACCAACATCGCCGCCTCCAGACCTCCCCCCCCCAAAGCCTGCACCTCCTCTAGAGACACGTGTGTGTGATACGTGTGTGTGACCGAAGCATCCTGCATATTTCGCCTGATCCTCTTGATCGGTCTTAGTAGCCAGTGAAGGCTGCTCAGCACACGGCAGTACGGCTCTCTGCTGGGCGTCGTTAGGCCAGGCTGAGCCTCCCTCTCCTTATCCTCCTTGATAATCTTGTCCAGGTTGTAGTCGAAATCAGCACCCCATTTCCACACTTGTTCGCTGCGGTAACCCGTTCATTGTTTCCATTATGCCTTGGTTGGAACGCAAGTATGGCGAATGCAAGAATCTGGCAGATAGAAATGCTATAACTAGCGTCTTCATCCACCACAACCTCATGTGACGGCTGTGCTAGATGGCAGTGGGCTGTCGTTGGGTCAGCCCAGTCAATCTTGAGCTCTAAGACCCGCCGGATGATGTCGGTTTGTGTCAGAATGAATGACGTCCATGGTTTTAGGGCCGCTCAGTGCTTTCTAGGAGGGTTGCTGGTAGGAATTTTGGTCGTGCGGTGCCCCTCTGTGGTCTACACAAGACATGCTCGTGGCAGACCACCAGATATTCCTCAAGTGTTGATCCGTGTAAGACGCCGTGACTACTTCGCATCGCTTTGTGAAATCATCTCAAGTTTTTCGATTCTTCATTGTAGAAGTTCGATTCCTGTTTGGACTTCGTTTGCGGGCATGGTGTGACATATCAACAGCTGGGCGCTGAGGCACCTGTGAACACACGACACGTGTACACCAAGAGCGTCAAACTTGCGCAGGGAACGACCTCGGTTGGACGTGCGTCTGTATTGGGTGGACTTATCCAGTGTTGGTCCGAGTAATGATACAAGGTCAAGAGAGAGAGAGAGATGCCAATAACAGCGTTGTTTGAGGGCTTGATACATGTTGTTATTTGTTCCGAGAGGGATCATTCTGTTCTTGTCGCTGGTGTACTGATTTTCATTCCTTGAGTCATAGGAGACCATGTCATCTATATGATGTGCTGTGGTCTGCTGGTGTGTGTGCGTGTACGGATGTGTGTTTGTGTGTGTGTAGAGATGATTATGATCTAGCTAGGAGGAAAGAACCCGACGTTGTTATATGGTCTTAGTTGACCTAGGTGCCTGAGGCAGGAAGGGACGATGTGTCAGACAAGTCTTCTTGGGGGAGGGAGTAGTGACATAAGTGACAATGTCTGCGTATAGAGGCGAGGTAGAGGCGTTATAGTGATGAAGGCTCCGGTGATCAGTGTATGTGTAATATTGATCGTTGCCCTCTTCCTTGACGGAATCGGGGTTAGTTCCTGACACGATGCCAACAGCCGAAAGAGACAAGAGGGAAGCAGCCAAGAGAGCTAGAAAGAGTATGATACCCTGTTTGCTCTAATGAAAATCGACTACGCGAGATGCAACTGGTCGCGATAGCCACAATCCACCCAGCACCTTTACCGGGTGGTGTTTAAACAGTACTGTCACCCTCGGAATAATGGGGTTTCGCTGCTTGGCTTTTAAGCACATGCCACGACTCACATGTGCCACTCTAGTACACCAAACTACTCTGTAGAGAGAGGGAAAGGGGTTAGACCCAGGTCCATACAATCCCGTTTCGGCCATAAACAACTCGTGGATGCGGAGATACCAATGCGATGACCATCAGATGCTCCCATGGACTAGTAGGTTGAGAAAATCGATCATCAACAAGCGATCACGATAACGTTTCAAGCTAAACACTCTATGCTCCCAGACAAACGGAAAGTCTGATCCGAATGCTTCGTGCGGGTTGCGGCACCAATCGTCACTTGGTGATGGCGATCATCAACGTGCCAATCGGCTATAACACGATAGAGATATATCAATACCCCATCTTTAGCACATCATATCCGTGCACGAATAGAAACGAAGACTCTTACATCTGTTCTCCCTTTGCCATCCCTCCGTTTCATCTGTCTCTCTTGTTCTGTCCTTTCTCTCTATGCTGACAATAATATTGGTATCAGCAGCAACAGCAGCTAGTGTAGTAATCGTAGTACTTGTGTAACCTGTATTTGAGAGCGTGTGCATGCCTTGTAGCTCAGGCTCCACCGACGTCACCAAGAGTGTCGATGACTTCACCGATTATGGGTCCATCCCTTGACACCTTTTTATGGGCTTCCTGCTCTCCATGATTTTCAATCAGACCAACAACTTTTATTTCCGCCCATCATTCTCTCGACGCCCCTCCCCAACCCCTCCTCCCATTTCAATCCAACAATAGATTACGCAGCTAGGGAAGATCTTGTTCCGTAAAAGAAGAACATGACGATGAATGCCTAAGCATTGTAGGTTTATTAATTCATACATAAAAAGCAGTAATTACTTCGTAACAATATAGCATCGTCCACTTCTCGTGGCCAGGCATTCGAATCTACAGAAAGGGCCCCACCGATTGTAACGCTTTGGCCTTGTCTCTTTCCATGATTAATATGTCCAACGCTCTTCTTCCAGGTAACCCAGTTCTTTCCTATCGGATGAAAAATCCCGGTTTAAACCTGCGGGGACACGTGAATCTTCGTTACCTTCAGACTACCCTCCCTCCTCCCTCCCCCCCTTTATTGATTGCCTCGCTTCATTCTTTTTCTTCTCTAACCTTCCTTACCCCGGAACACGGCAAACTTACCGCGTTACTGCCAAATACGTCAGGGATCTGATCCTTGGTCTGGCGTCTCCGATCCCCTTTTGCGGCGGAAGCTATTCACATACTTGAAAGGGCTGGAGGACGCTTCTTCGGTTGTTTCCTTATTCTGTTCTCAAGCACCGTCCTCTGTCTCCCTCTCTCTCTGTGTGTGTCTCTCTCTCTCTTTCTCTCTATTCGTCAAAGGAAAAAAAATAGTTTGTGTCCCTTGATGCGTGCACAACTGCTGAGATACAGAATCACCGCCATCGTCAGACTGCCATCCGCCATGCCGTCTAGCAAGAGAAAGAATCGTGAATCGCAGTCGCCACCCACATCTAATACTCGCCAACGATTCAGTACAAGGGTGGCCAGCAGACGAGCAGAAGAGATTGAAAAGGAAGGACAAGACGCCATACGGTCCGATAGTGTAGAACGCGCGGTACGGAAACTGAAAGAGATGGAAGATCAGCTGCAGAATATAGTGAGGAAGGAACGGAGAGCCGTCGAGACGTCGAGACTCGATGACAAGCTGGCCGACGGAAAAACCAGGATCGACAATGCTAAGTTGCCGCGCACAAGTATCCCCATCAACCATGTCATCAACGGCAAGCCGGGGGATCACGGCAGCTCCAGTGACCTCGATACCGGAGAGGATGACTCTGTTCCCTGGACTTCCGATGCAGCAAAGGATCAAGAAGAAGTGGAGAGGGGAGCGAGGAGAGCACCACCGGTAAACAGTGAGCGGCTACCATTGCCCTGGACAGGCCGACTGGGATATGTGAGACGCCCACTGTCGATCTCTCTGGAATAACTGTCTCTTGTCCTTTCTTCTCCCCTACCTGTTGCTGTAAATAACTAGAAAATGTTGGGAACCATGAGCTGACATGAGTGGCCAAGAAAATAGGCCTGTCTCAACACATACCTGAGAGCTTCCAACCCTCCGGTATTCTCGTCCAGGACGTGCCGGATCAGTTCCATCATAGACCACCGATATCCCCTCGAGAAGCCGGACCAGCCCGAACACGCAGTCAAGAACCGGCCCGACAAGACTAAGAAGGCTGATGAGAGGCTCGGCGTGGAATATGTGCGGGAGATCGGGCTGGCCAACGCCCGCGACGTCAAGAAGGTTCTCCGATGGAACGACAGATTCGGCATCAAGTTCATGAGGCTGAGCAGCGACATGTTCCCCTTTGCTAGCCACCGGGACTACGGCTACGAGCTTGCGCCGTTTGCAGCGTCGACATTGGCCGAAATAGGACAGGTAGCAGCCGAGCTGGGACACCGGCTCACCGTACATCCGGGCCAGTATACCCAGCTGGGCAGTCCACGAAAGGAGGTTGTGACTGCGGCGGTGCGCGACCTTGAATACCACGACGAGATGCTCTCCCTTCTACGTCTGCCAGAACAGGCTGACCGCGATGCCGTCATGATATTGCACCTAGGGGGGACGTTTGGCGACAAGGCAGCCACGATGGACCGATTCCGCGACAACTTCAGATCTTTGCTATCGGAGGCCATCAAGAGGCGGTTGGTCCTAGAGAACGACGACGTCTCGTGGACAGTGCACGATCTGCTCCCGCTTTGCGAGGAGCTGAATATCCCCCTCGTACTCGACTTTCACCACCATAACATCCTGTTCGACCAGGACAAGATCCGTGAGGGAACCCGCGACATCATAGACCTGTATGACCGCATTGCCGCCACGTGGACGCGCAAAGGTATACGGCAGAAGATGCACTATAGCGAGCAGACGGCATCAGCAATTACACCGCGTGAACGGCGGAAGCATTCGGCTCGCGTACGGACCCTACCTCCTTGCCCCGACGGCATGGACCTCATGATCGAGGCAAAGGACAAGGAGCAGGCGGTGTTTGAGCTGATGCGCACGTTCAAACTTCCAGGATATGACCTGTTCAATGACATTATACCGTATGAGAGGGACGATGAGTCTCCTACTAGTTCCAGGAGCAAGAATAAAAACACGAAGAAGAATGCGGCAGATCACGTCAGCGTCGTGGCAGAAGATGACAAAGACGTCGATATGGGAGGGCCGCAGCGCAGGGTCTTTTGGCCAGAGGGGATGGAGGAGTGGCTGAAGCCGATGAAGAGGGTGTCATCAAAGACGGGCAAAAATAAGAAGACGATGACAACGACGAAGGAACTTTCAGCCAAGCAAGAGGACGATGAAGAGTAGCAGTAATTATGCGTACGTTGTACGGAGTTGGGGTAATGGAGAGGGTCGTTTCATCTTGGAATCAATCGACTTATAGAGCCGTGTGTTTTCATATTCCGCAATTTGTTTGGGTAGTATACAATCAAGATCTCATAGCATCAGGTAACAGTAGCATATGAGTGTTTTTCTTTCATCGGATTTCATTACAAAGAAAAGAGGACAGAAGATCTCGAAATGAAACTGTCGTTAGATGGTGCAGTCGTAAATACAGTATGGATTATATATACACAGTGATATATACACTATATTATCGGGAGCAGGTTGCTACTTGATGAAAATATTTTGTCAAGAGCTCTTTTACACCAGTACTCTGCAGTGGTAAACGGCAACTCATTTTAGACGGGCAGGCCTGTTGACGAAACCATATATATATATATATAAATCTTTTCTATATATATTGCTTGTTATTATCTACTTTGGCGTTCTATCTTCTTCACATTTACTTGGTCGCAATGGCTCAACCCGACTTTGACTCTCGGACACAGTCCTTCCTGAGCTGGTTCAAGGGCCTCCCCGGAGCCTCATTCTCTGATGACATAAGCATTATCGACCTGCGCTCGCGAGGTGCTGGGCGCGGGATAGGTACGCATATTCTTCTTTGGTCTCCCTATTTCTCGTCATCTGCCTTCTCTCGCTGTATCTGAGCCATGGTACTGACCTCCACCCAGTGGCAACCCGAGACATCTCACCAGACACAACGCTCTTCACCATCCCGAGAAAAGGAATAATAGACGTAGAGACGTCAGACATAGCCAAGAGGCTTCCCGACCTGTTCAGGGCGAATCTTTCGGCCCGGGAAGGCACGCGGGAGGACGGCAATGCTGCGGACGACTCTCCCAAGCAGGACAGCTGGAGCGGGCTCATCCTCATCCTGATCTATGAATTCCTCCGCGGCCAGGACTCCCCCTGGAAGCCGTACTTTGACATCCTACCCCAGACGTTTGAGACGCCCATGTTCTGGACGGATGAGGAGCTGGACGAGCTGCAGGCCAGCCCGACGCGGGGCAAGGTTGGTAGGGAGAATGCCGAGGCCATGTTCCGCGCCTCGATTCTGCCCGTCATCCGCCAGAATCCAGAGTTGTTCGCCTCGAGCGAAGTGGCGAGCGACGACCAGCTGATCGGCCTGGCGCACAGGATGGGAAGCACAATCATGGCATACGCGTTTGACTTGGAGAATGAAGATGAGCAGGAGGAGAATCCCGACGAGGAGTGGGTCGAGGACCGCCAGGCAAAGTCTGTCATGGGAATGGTGCCCATGGCTGACATTCTAAATGCCGATGCTGAATTCAATGTGAGCCGCCTCTTAGACACAAAAGAGCCCTCAAAGCATCAAAACACTGACTCCACTCCCCTAGGCCCACGTCAACCACGGCGACGAGAGCCTTAGCGTCGTATCCCTGAGACCGATCAAGGCCGGCGACGAGATCCTCAACTACTACGGCCCCCATCCCAACTCCGAACTTCTCCGCCGATACGGCTACGTCACAGACAAGCACGCACGCCACGATGTCGTCGAGCTCCCCTGGAGTGACGTCGAGAGAGCCATGGCGTCTGAGCTGGGAGTCTCGACAGACAAACTCAGCGGGATCCGCAAGGGTCTCGACGATGAGGAGTTCGAAGATACGTTTGTCCTCGAGCGAGAGGCCGGGGACATCGGTCCCGACGGCATGTTCGAGGGTCCGCCCGGTGGTGTCTTGGTGCCCGAGGAGCTGACGGAGCAGCTCAAGTTTTTTGTTAAGGCTGTCAAGAAGCTGGACCCCGAGGCCGTTCCCGAGAAGAGAAAGCGTCGCGAGATCATGGAGTCTATACTTGCCAGGGCTGTGGTGGCCCTGGAAGCGAGGTACCCTACTTCCGTGGAGGAGGATGAGCGTCTGCTGAGCCAGGGCGGTCTATCTGAGCGTCATCGTATGGCTGTTGTTGTCAGGTTGGGCGAGAAGAGGCTGCTTCGGGAGACGAAGGCTCAGCTTGCGCAGAGTGCCGAGCAGGAAACCGAAGGTAGTTCTGGCAAGAAGGCTAAGAGGTCATGAGAAGCAGCATATTGGGGGGGGGGCATAAGATCAGACATCTTCATCTCAAAATTATAGACCTTTTCTAGCTCATATTGCTTGGGGAATGGTCAGTAGGAACACATGGCCATCATGGTATGGAGTCTCGACTTCTGTTCATCCGAGTGTCACCACAATGGTTGCTTAAATGTGAAATATGTCAGCGTGGCAACGCTGACAACACCACCTCTATCCGACCACCTGATCGCCCGCGCTTGGTTATCCTCACTCTCTCTGTGGCCTGTGTACCTCCAAACGTTTGGTGCAAGCTGGCTCGCGCTCCTCCCTGCCCCCCTCGCGTTACACCCGACTGCCTATGAAGACAGCTGTGACTGCCAGCCCCCGACGTGGCATGATTGAAATCTCGACCCTGACCACTTTGTCACACTGATCATCGCACTGATAGTCGTAGTGGCAATTCCATAATGCTGCCAAGTCCGTGTTGTCAGCACGTGGTCACCGTGTGATTGCCGAGGTGGGTTGATTCCAGCTCACGGCCACTTGACGGCCACTTCATATTCTTCCTTAGGAGCTCTTTCCCTTTCAGAAATGTTCTACTCCTTCCTCTTCTGTCTTCCATAATATCAACAACAAAAATAATCGAGGGCAAGATTGAGCGGGGTCAGCCTCAACCATCTCCCCGTAGATTTGTCGACACCACGGGAGGAATCAGTATCCCTACTATCCATAAAGAAAGCCCGTATAAACATATTTTCACATCATCTCCAACAGTGCAAGGTACAACACGTCATCATGGACCAAGTCGTGGTGAGCAAAATCAGGCATCGCTTCCCTATCCACGACAGCAACAACAAAGACTGATAGGAAGGAAACATTGATACCTACAGGACGGCCCAAGTCCCCCTATACCGGAGCTGAGCTTTCTCTTTGTAATCAATGACATTGCTATATCTCGCAGCGAAGAAGATACATGGGGCCAGGCGCGTCCGCCCACGGATATGCAGTCGTACTCCCGCGAACTCGAAAGCAGTGTGATGCGATACAAGAACGGCAAGATCGAGGAGCTCCCCGCCTACCAGTTCGTGTTCGAACGTGACCCGGACACGGGCATAGGCGCTATCTACCAGCTCAACCAGAGGAACTGCGGCAAGCAAAGCGACTGGCCGCACAGGGGTGACCTGAAGCCCATCCCGACATACAAGACTTGCACCATGTTCGCCTGCCACCCCTTCATGCCATACGTCATGGTCCCCAGCGATGCTACAATCCATGATACGCGCACCGGCCCGCCTATCGACGACTTCACCTGGCGCCCGCTGAGGTTCCGCTTCCCCCTCAGCAGCCGTGGCATCATCACGGGCGTATCCCAGGCCGTCTTCACCAGTCACGATGATACTCACCCCACGTACTCGTATGTTGCTGGCCGAAATCCGTCGTGGGTACCTTCCCTTTTGCCGCCCACCTACGTCAATCCCCTCGTTAAGCGTCCCTCGCGCGGGCTGGGTGGAGACGTTTCCATCCTGCTCGGCCTTATGGCCTTCTCGGCGCCCTGTGAGCAGGGCCAGCCCAGGGCCCATACCACTTTTATCGACGGAACGCTCCGCTGGGAGAACCACGAATGGAAGCATCGAGATCCACCTAAAGGAGGCGGGTGCTTTCCTCACACCAGTCCATCTCTTCTTACTCGCCCGCTAATGGCCCCTTTAGTCCCCTATTCTGTCGCCGACATGCCCCGTGGCATTTTGATATGCGTCGCCCTAGATCCGACTGACCCCTCATCTACTCCCGAGGCCATGCGTGTGTTTGAGTCTGAGGGTGTCATGATCATGGAAAAGCAGTAAGCATCTCCAAGAGTACTGTGGTCATTCTTTCCTCAAATGAGCCAGACTCTCTCTTGAGCAGCATGGTCATGAGTGCACCAGCATGGTCACCGAGGAGTAGATACAGGCGTCGTCACAAGGGCATCTGGGAGGAACTCGAGTTGTTCTTTCTATAATCATGACAGGTCACACCAACCGGCCGTCTAAGTCACATGAATAATAGAATCCCCGATTCTTTTTCTTTATTTTCGTTTCTTTCCCCTTTAATATCATCTCTCGCGTTGTCAACAGTTTCCGTCTGCTTGCCTGCTCTGTACAGCCTGCTCAGTACAGTACAGTCTCGTTTCTCTTCTCATTCGTGTCATGTGCCATCCAGGCTGGTAATGTTGTAAGATATATCGCGTGTATAAGTGTCGAAGAAGGGGGTTTTCCCCGTTGGTCGCTAGGGGGAGGAAGGGGTGGGGGGTTTTCATGGTGTGAGGCTCATTAACCATTGGAAATGTCTTGGACTTTTTTTATTGCGTAAAAAGAAGAGTATTTGGGTGCGTAGGATAAGTCTCTCAGACGGCATCTGGTAAACGCACGGCAATATCTCCTGATTGAGTAATGTAACGGACCCAAGGCAGAGAAGGGTATTGTAGCTGGGAAGGTTAAGACCGGTCAGTTAGCAGGCTGGTGGAGGGTGCGTGTGTGTGGGTGAAGAAAGGGGAGTGAAGATACCTTGGGCTCTGTAATCTTGAGATAGCGGACCTGGATACCAGAAGTGGTAAAGTAAGGAATCTCAAACTTGACCTGGATAGGACGTTTTCCTGCTTTACCGCCGGTGGCGCCACCCATGCTGCCACCGAAACCGCCCATCATGCCACCTCCGAGCTCGTCGTCGCCACGGACGCTGGGGAGACCGAGCTCGGCACGCATGAGGAACTCCTTGTTACCGCCGAACTGCTTGATCTTCCAGACGATGGCGCTCTGCTCGGGCGCGTAGTGGACGGAGCCGATGTTTGTGCGGAAGCGGGGGGAGTCTGCATCGTCAGGGACGGGAACAATGATCTCGACGTTGTTGGCGGTGCTGCGGCGCTTGAACTGGGCCTTTGCCTTGAGCATGTACTCGATGCGGGAGCCGGAGTGGGACTCGACGGCGCACTCGACCCAGATGAGGGGCTTGACCTGGGTATTAAGGCGGTAGGACATGAGCTCGAACTCGCCGTCCGGGGGGATGAAGGAGATTGTGCGGTCGTTTTCGAAGCGCGAGAGGCGGACGCACTGGTGGAACTTGACATCCTCCATCTCTATGGCCTTGCCGCGGGTGGCGCGGCCGGTCGTCTCGAACATGACCTTGTCGTTGAGGCCGAGGCGGAGCTCGGGCATGCCGCTCAGGTAGCACTTCATCTTGATGGCGCCCAGGATCTCGGAGCGGAGCACGTTGCCGTTGGCCGAGACGAGCAGGTTCAGGCTCTCGACCACGTCGAGGAAGACCTCGTTCTTGCGGTATCGGATGCCCTCGGACCGCCACGACACGGCGTTGGTCACGGCTATGGGCGGCCGCGCCTGAATCTCCAGCTTGTGCGACTCCTGCGTGATGTACTCCTGGAGGATCTTGGACTCGGTCGTCTGCGGGTAGCCAAAATCCATCATCTCGTCCAGGAGCTCGTAGATGATGACAAAGTTGTCACGGATCGACTCCTCCTCCAGCACCTTGAAGTACTCGGTGAAGACCTCGACTAGCTTGTGCAGGAACAGGAGGATCTCGGCTGCGTTGGTGTTGCGCTTCGTCAGCGCCAGGACGTACAGGTTATTGTGTCGGATGTAAAGGTACTACAAATGGTATTCGAAAAGAAGGTTAGCGAATAACAGGAAAACAGGCAAGCAAAACGAGGCCAAAAGGCCCCGAGTCGTCAAAGATGCGACGCTCGCATCGTTCCAAGGAACCCGGTCCGCCATCGGGAACAGAGGGAGAGTAGTGAACGAGGGAAGACATACGTTGATTCCTTCGTGGGAGAAACACGGCGGCACGGCCGAGGATTCTTCTTCGGCATCGGATAGGAGCGTAGGGAACATTTCAACGGCCGACATGGGAATGTCACCCCTGTAGTTGCGGGCGAGAAGGGTCTGGGAGGAGGGGAGGGGAGGAGATTCATTGGATCGTCAGCTACACGGGTCTTGGGTGTACGTTTTTCTTTCTCTACCCGGGGACGCGATGCGGCTTCATGAAGAAGAAGAGCAGAGGATTTGAGCGTACCTTGCCCTTGAGGTCGAGGAAGAAGAGAGCCGACGCCATGGCGAAGGGGGAAGGCGGGGTGATGGTTTAAGGGGTGGGTGCTATTATTATTATTGTCGGACGAGTGTCGTTTCGGCAATGGGCGATTAATTCCCAAAGAGCAAGACGGAGGGGGGAGGGGGGAGGGAGGTGTTGAATTAGTTGCAAATGAGATCTAGCCTCGAAACATTTCGCCGCCGGGGAAGATTGAGAGATTGTGTCGTGGTAGAAGGCGTTGTAGTTGTGCCGATATGAGGCGGAATGATGATATCGTGGCCTCCAGCTAAGTCAAAGTGAACCTCTCCAAACGGTCGTCTTACTTTACTGTACCAGTTCTAGTGCTAGAGGTGCTACGTAGCGGGACCTCTCTCTCCAAGTGCCAGCGCTCCATCGGAAGATCATCGGCAGCAATTCATTTTCCTTCCTACTGGGTATCAGTGTAATCACTACTAACCTGAGCCCAAGAGAAAGAGCACGTGACTTTGCGCCAAAGAGAAAAAAAATTTCCACCAAGCATAAAAGCTTCCCCCCACAAGTTTTCTTTTTCTTCCTTCCCTTCTCTTCTTCTTCCTCCCTCAACGCACCCTCTAGACAGTGCTACCCATCGCTTGGTTTGCTCCCGGGAAATGGCATTCTGTCATTTTTCCCAACTTGCGGCTCGTGGTTGAGGTAGCGATTTCGTGGTGCGGAGAGGGATCACATGGCTCCATAAGAGCTGGCCGAGCTCGGTTGTTTCCTTTTGGGGGGACTTCCCTTGTGGCTTGGGCGGCGTCAGAGGGGCCAAACATTTTTTTATCGTCACCATCCATGTTTGTATCATGAATTATTTTGTTCCGCATTGCCCGGTCGGAAACGTAGGAATTGAAAGAAAGGCAAGAACGACGGTTTATTGGTACCCCATGGCCATGACCAAGCTTATTCTGCCAACTATGGCCTGAGTCTCTTAAATGATATTAAACAGCACATGATGTGCTGTTTATGCCAGCTGGCGGCAGTAGTTGATATGTCACCGCCGAGGTTCGATGCCCAGTATCGAGCTTTGGCCAATTACTCGCTCCCATTCGACAGAAAAGACGATACTCATGCGGCAATACTAATGAATAGTACTCGCAGTGGTGCATCTTTTTAATATTAATAATGGGTAGTACTTATCAACCTACCCACCCATAGTTGCTTGTTCTCGCACTGCTAAGAAAAATCTCGGCAGATCGGCTCGAGGCCCGAGTTTCCTGACGGCGGTATTTGCATCCGGAGGGAGGAGATATATCTTTGCAGATTGCGTAATACGCTTGTGACTGTCTCGTTTGCATGTCGCGTCGTAATAGTACGAGTATCAAAGAGTAGGACTCATAAGAATTACTTATGCCTCATGCTACGAGTAATATTGATACGGAGCCAATATTACCACGGCCGAGAGGACTACGGGATACTCTACTCGTATATATCAATACTATTCAGCTCTCGGCTTATTTTTCTTTTTCTTTTTCTTTTCATCTTCTAGACGAGGATATAATGCAGTGGTCTGCAAACTAATAGCTCGCATGATTCGAGCGATATATCCGTAGCTTTTTCACAATGACAAAGTGGCAAAACCAACAGGGAAGAGGCGTCCGACTCACACGTGCTTCTAGCCTTTACGCTCCTAGCCGTCGAGAAATGGCTGCTAATGTTGGGGTCAACGGTTTTTGTTCTTGATAAGTACCCCGGTACATGCCAATTTTGGCTTGTGAGTGAGGCATGAGAGAGGACGAGGCACATGTCTTCCTAACACAGTAATACTTCCAATTATATTTACAAGTACACGTAAAGACAAGTCCCGACGCCTGATTATGGTGGTAGCCAATATTACAAGATAGCCATACACATCTCACACAACCGTCACCACCCAAATTTACCTTTGACATCTACATCCCCAGAATCAGGAGCCTTGTGAGCGGGGGCCCTATCCCCTCATTCTGCCTTCCCCCCTCAAGGACCCTGCAGCACATGCGTTAGCCAAGTATTACTCGGTCTGTTGAGCCAATAGAGCCAATAGAGCCAACCATCCCTGATCATTGGGATAGATAGGCCAATTCATCTCTCATGATAATGAGCATTTCTCTTCCTGGCGACTGTCGCTACTATATCACTACAAGTACTACTACTAACAACATAATAATAGTACGGTGTACTGATGCAGTGATATACTGTCCGCTGTGTCTCGATAGTACACTGGTAACTCAGCCGTGGCTCAGCCGTAACCGACAAACTTCCCTGCTCTTGGTGCTCGTGCCTTGTACTCGTAACATTCTCCTCCCCACCATCTTTTCGGAAAAGAGGCTCCCAATTGGCTCGCTCTTGCCTGTTGATGCCATGCCATCCATGGGCCATGACCCATAGGCACATGAATAGGAGCGATTTTACTAATACGGTACAGCTCTCGCAGCATGGCGTAATGCCACCAACTGCTGCTGAAAATGGCAGCTACAAAGCATCTCGCTCGTACTTGCTCCTTATTTGCTGCTGTACGGAGTAGTACTATCAATGTCCATGCCTCCTTCCCTGCGTTCTTCCTAGCGCTCCTTCCGCTAACACACAGTCATTTTCTTCCGCCTCTCCCATCCACCATCTATCGCCCACCATCTCATCTTTCTCTGCTCTCTCCCTTGCTCGTCTTATCTATCAGCCGTATCAGCCGTGGAAACACTAGAGGAGAGGAAGAACATAGCGCAGTTCCCCCTCGAGACCAGCCTCTCTGTCTCTCTGCAAGTACCGTTCTTTCTGCACCATCGTCCCGTGTGCGGCCGACGTCGTTGTCTTAGCGCGTGACCGAACCCTGCACCTCTGGGTTACGAGTACAATCACATGCTCCTTCTCGTTTCATTCTCAAGTCACATCAAACCACACATAACCGCTTGCAACACCCCCCCCCTCATCTTCCTCTCTTCTCTTCCTCCTTCTTCCACGTATTCTGTGCGCAACACCAGCCGACCATCTGTGTGCGTCTTCGTTTTCTTGTTTTTTTTTTGGAGGTCTTTTTGGGGGGGTTTTTTGTTCTTATCGAATAAATTGTTCCCGCCATCCGTCAACGACATGCCGCCCGCACCGGATTCCAGCGGGTCGTTTACAGCCCAACTGCCCTCCATTTCTCGATTAGACCACCGTTCTCCTCCGCCGCCGCCGACATTATCCAACAGCCTTCATTCCTCGTCAACGACGTCCCTCTCAGCCACAACAGCTACTGCCACTATACCACACGCGCCGCTGCCACCTCCACACAATGGTCATGATCGAACGGTCCTACCGCCTCTGAGTAGCCTTACCGGTGGCGAGCTCCTCGGTCATAGTCCCATGCTCGACCCTGTTGATCGTCCTTCGCCGCCTCCCTGGTCGGCCTTGAACCCCCCTTCTCAATCATATCGCAGTGCCGACAGCCCCAATACTATGGACATTGACGCTTCAAGCAACAGCGCCGTCGGTACGGCGTCACCAGACACGCGTGCCGAACAGCGCGCTGCGAGCGTCAGTCTTGATGATCCCGACGTCTGGCTCGCTGCCAAAGCCTTGGGTGAACTTCGGGCTGGTAAGCCAACACCCGAGTACAGAGCCGTGGCATGTGCTTGTTGCTGACTTCGCATGCTTTCCAGATTTCGTTTCGTCCCCACCTGCTACCGGCAGTGCCCTTTCCATGAGCCCATCACCCGCCGCCCAGCTGCCTGGCCAGCGACCGACACGAGAGTCCGGGCCGCTGTTTAACCTGCTCACTGCGTCACACCCTCTACTAGCCACGACTATTGAGGGCGCTACATCGGCCTACGGCGGTGCCAAGAACTTCTCACCCCGCTTCAAGTCCGGAGCAGAGTATGTCGAGGGATATCTAACACCCATTGCCAACACGGTCGGTTCAGTCGGCCGCGTGACTGGAGTTGAGGGTGGTGTGCGCTGGATCCTGAGCCGGAGACAGGACTCGGACTCGGAGGCAGCGGGAGGCTCCAAGAAGCGACGCAAGGTGGATGCTTCCGGTGCTGAACCCAGCTCCAAGAAGCGCATCGAGACCGAGGCCGTATCGGGGCTCCCCTCGGCTTCTGTCGAGGTTGAGAACTCGCACGATTCGTGCCCGCCTACCCCCAAGAGTAGCAGCCGACTCTCTATTGCCAGCACAGCTGAGACATTGCCAGCATATGACGACATGCGCTCGCCGGCATATACTGAGACGATGGACAACCAGGGCGCTGCCACGGCTCCCCGCGCCAATGCCCCCTGGAAGTCACGCATCCTCATCTCAACTTCGGGCTTGAGCGTTGCCATGAGCGACGAGAGCTTGCGCAGCCTCAAGTACTGCCTCCGGTGGCTACGTTGGGCTAACCACCACATGGGAGGTGTCATTGGTAACCTCAAGACGACGGTGGAACAGTACGAGAAGCCAGAAGACGAGACGATGTCGGGCTTGGCTGCCGCTGAAATGGCGCAGGATCCGGCAGCTCTCGGCCAGCAGGGAGGGGTGGCGGGAGCTGATGCCCGGGCAGCTCAGCAAGTCTCCCGTGCAGAGCTCGCCCGCCGCATCAATGCGCTGAAGGGGGACGTTCTCAAGACACTGCAAGACGCCATCAACACGGTGTCGAGGTATGCCGGCGGAGCCCTCCCTGAGAATGCCAGGGTACTTGTGCACCGGCACCTGACCAGCCTGCCCCAGCGCTTCCGTCTGGCCACGCTGTCTACGCAGGAGACCCAGATCAACGGCCAGGACAAGGACTCGGCCGTGCGCGACGGGGCACACAAGGTTCTCGTCCTGGCCAAGGAGGGCCTCGACATGGTAACGCAAGTCAGCGCGATTGTCGACGGCACCATTGTCAGTGCAGAGGAGTGGTGCGAGCGCATGGGCCGCAAGAGGCCCTCAGATACTGACAAGGATGGCGCAGACGGTACCTCTCTGTTGCCGCAGCATGAGCCCAGGGACCATGGCGTCAAGATGGGTTGAGGGAGAAGGCGAATCGATGACGTCGATCATATTTTTTTTTTAAAAAAAAGAAAGAAAAGGAAAAAGACGTGACATTTCGAAGCGAGACGACGACAGGTTCGGGCGTCGCTTCTGTAAAAAGGGGGGGGTCCGAATTGCTGGATTTAAGGGAGAGGGCATATGGTAAATAACATGGCACGGGATTTCGACACTGACACTTTTCATTTATTCTTGATACCACAACACCCAGTCCAGGATGACGAGGCGTTTTTTTCTCATTGTTTCCCATCACTTTCTTATCATATTCTCATCTTCAATTTCTTATAATGTCCTTCCATTATATATGCAACAATCTAGTACGCCGACTTTATTACTTATAAAAAAAACCCTTCCATATTTTGTCATACTCTCGGCTACCTTTTCATCTAGTTTATATTTCTTACTTTTCTGAATTCTAGCGACTTATGGGGCTTTCTTTCTTATGTGTCCGCATGTACTCTTCTCTTCTTCTCTCTTGCTCAGTTCTTGTCAACTGGGAATGTTTTGCTTCACCCATGGAAGCGTGGATGATCTTAGCTCTGATGAGCTCCCTGGGGTCTGGGAGAAAGTGTCTGCCGTCTAGGGAGGCGGCCCGGCTGCGGGATTGGGAGGCTGGCTGGCGGCGGGGCAGGCTGGGCTTGGAGGACGACAAGTGGGCCAGTTGGCGAGACGGTAGCCACCCTATGGGTTCTTCTGCAGCTCGAGGGTAGGTGCCGTGGAGTGGGTAGACGGGGCAGAGGTTACCCGTGGTGAGGGCGACCTCGCCGTCGGGCTTGACGACGACGGAGCAGACGAGGGCGTTCGCGTCGGCAGCCCAGCGGGTGACGGTGGAGACGGGGTCAGAGGTGTCGCCGCGGCGGAATTACGGGGCGGGGTCGGAGCTGTAGTCGCCCGAGTAGATGGCGGCGACGAGGTCGTCGGCTCAGGTCCGGGCAGGCTCATATGCCGCGTTTCTACACCCATTGAATTGTATTTCGAAAACGACCAGGTTGACTATGGTCACGGAGAACGATAACGCCTCTGTGTCTTACTGGGCCAATATTCAAGTTGATGCATACGAGGTGACGATGGCACGTGGTTGAGTTTATCTGTGTCATGGCCAACACGGATGTGAGATATGGCTGTATTGTAAAACATGGACCTAGATTGCGTACTCTTTTAGATAGCTTGATCAGTTTACGGCACCCGTACATTGCCTGTCCATGCACATATGATCCTATACACGCGCGTCAAACAAGGATAGAACCTTCATTAGAATTAGACGTTTCCCCGATCTCTGGGTAACCGACAAGAGACCCGAGCAGATGGCACCAAAGATTAGTAGAAAACTCTCCTATGCCTAGGGACAATGCCAAAATAATAGGATCGGAGAACCAACAGGTCTGGCAGGGAACATTCCGAGTTCGCGCGGTTGGAAGGGAGGCTGGTGATTTCATAGAATGCCTCGTGGTATGGATACAGAAACCGATGCTTCATAGACCCAACCAACTGGTTTTGACCTTAGTTTACCCCACTTTCTTCTCTTCTTGCTTTTTATTTTCAAGTAGCCTGGATTCGACAACATGTGGCAGTTCATGCCCTCAGAGCCAACAACCTTGGGTCGGAGCCGGGTGACGGGGTCTCCACACACGGCTGTTGCCGAATTACTATCACCAACAGAAACAACCTTGTTCACATGCATAAGTGCATAAGTAAGTGTGGTGATCACTCTTAGCGGGCCGGGAAGGAAGGGGGTCACGTCTAGATGGATGATTTGGGGGGGACTCTTTTATCTTGATGCGTTATTATTATCTGTATCGTGACATTTAATCTCGTTTCTTTTTCTCTCTTTCTACTCGAGTATTTCATCTTGGGGGGGGTTTGTAGCACTTAGAGGCCGAGGGCCTTGGCGAGAGCCTCACCGGTGGCCTTTGCGGAGGCGGGGTTCTGACCGGTGATGACGAGGCCGGAGGTAACGACCTTCTCGGCCCAGGGCTCGGCAGCCTTGACGTAGGTGGCCCCGGCCTTCTTGATGGCGTCCTCGAGCAGGAAGGGCATGCTGCTGGTGAGCTGGACGGCTTCCTCCTCCGCATTGCTGAAGCCGGTGACGTCCTTGCCCTGGAGCAGGCCGGGGACGTTGACGAAGACGGCGGGGCCGTGGCAGACGGCGGCGACGGGCTTGCCGGCCTTGACGAAGTCCTCAATCAGCTTGATGGACACGGCATCGGTGGCCAGGTCGAACATGGGGCCGTGGCCTCCGGGGTAGAAGACGGCGTCGAACTCGGATACGCGGTCGGCAAAGTCCTTGAGGGGCTTGGTGTTCTCCCACACGGACTTCTTGTTGGCGTAGAACTCGGTCGATACCGGGTCCGCCTTGAACATCTCGACGGAGCCCTGGTCTATGGGGGCCACGCCGCCCTTGGGGGAGGCGAAGACGAGCTCTGCCTTGGGCTCCAGGACCTCGTAAGGGTGAGCCAGCTCGGGCTGCGTAGAAGGAGGAACCATGGTGTCAGTCACGGTACATACACATACATCTCCTCATCTCTCCATCTCTCCATCTCTCTTTTCGGTCTTAACCGCCGGTTAGGAGTGTTGCTTACCAGGTACCAGCCAGTGGGGAGGCCGCTTCCGACCATCTTGTCCACACTGGTGAGGACGACGAGAATCTTGGGCGCCATTTCTTGTCTTGATCTGTATCGGGTCGGGAGGGGTTGATGTTGTGGTGTTGCGATGAAATGTTGTTGCCGAGCGGTATGCCGTTGTGCAGATGCTGCCTCGGTTTGGTTCCTCGTGGCTGTTACAGTCTTGAAATAGAGAGAAGATGGAGAGTAGATTTCAAAACGAGCTACCGAGTAAGGGATCCATCCTTCATATATAGACTCATGCGGAATCAGCTCGCGTGAGTCTGCATTTACCGAGCAAAATACGACACGAGGAATTCTGCTTATTGATGCAGCTGATTTTCTATGGCGACTACTTGACGTCACATAGTGGACGGAGTCTAGGAACCAACAGCCGGAGTTGCGGAATGAATGATGGACCCCAGCCATGGGTTTCGGGCCCAAAGTGACAAATCCGTCTTTATACAACGCATTGAGCCATCAACTGATACAATTGACAAGGAAGAAGAGAGAATCCTGGAGAAGAAGAGTGGGATTATTAACACTCATTTTCCAGTTTCTCCTTGCTCTTGATGTCCTTGGTAGTTGTTGCCGCCGTTGTCTATCCCGTCGGATCCGTTGAACATGGTTGTAACCTCATTCGGCTATGATGCGTGCAAAGAGGAAGTGGGTCAGGTGCTCCATGTTGCATCTTTCGTGTTAGTGTCAGTCAGAGGACCCTGAGGAAAAGAGGTTGGGAGAAGCGGGGGGAAGAAGCTAAGTGGGAGGGGGAGGAGAAAAAGACAGAAGCGAAGAGATAACAAGGTGACGGTGAGGGAAAATGGCTCAGCAGGTAGAGAGGGAGAGTAGAGAGAGGGAGATTCATGCGAACTGGGAGCTGCACGCGCACACACGCATTGAGTGTATGCGCATACATGTTTTTGGATCGAAGAAGTCCAGAATTGCAAGTAATAATATTATTACCAGTTAGTAGTAGTCGAATGACGCCGCGGGAGGGGGAGGGGCGGAGGGGGGGAGGGTTATGTGTATGTATTCTCGAAAGAGAAGAAAGAAAAAAAGTCATACGTATATTCGTAACTATGTTGTTCGTAATTCTAGTCATGTATTTCCAAAACCTTCATGGCGAGTTGACCGTCTTCTTTCTTTTTTTCTTAAAAAAAAAGAGAAAAAGATAGCGAGGAGAGAGTAGCATTCTAAGCGTACTTCTTGACCATCTTGAGGATGGCAGCCTCCGTCTCCTTGGGGCTGGTGGCGTTGAGGTAGTGGCCGGCACCGTCGACAAAGGTCAGGGTAGCCTCGGGGGCCGAGGTGAAGAGCTTGATATGCTCCTGGGGGACGAGCTTCCCGTAGACTGGGTCCTCGGGGCCCTGGAGCCAGTAGACGGGGCACTTGACGTCGCCGAGGCGGATGAGGAGACCGTCCCTGGTCATGAGGTTGGCGAGGGCCATGCGGACCTTCTTGCGGCCCTCGTCGCCCTTGTAGACCTCCTGGAGCGTCTTGTCCCAGAAGGACAGCTTCTCGGGCGTGATGGTGCCGGCGAAGCCCAGCTGGGCGACCATTCCGCGCCAGACCTCGTCAACGACGAAGTCGTCGACAGGCGTGGACCACTTGTCGTAGAACGACTTGAGCTGGGCGTTGGGGTCCCAGCAGCCCTTCTCGCGCGACGCGGCCGACTCGTAATCCATCGAGGTACCGAGGGGGAGGAGACCTTGGATCTGTAGGTGTTTGGGGAGACGGTCCGTCAGCTTCAGTCCTCTTCCGTTCTTCCCTTCTCTCTCTCCCGTGTTCAATCCTCCCGCATCTCAATCCATCCGTCCCTCTCACCTCGACATCCTCCTTCTTACCTTATCGGGAGCGAGCAGGGCCATGCGGACGACGATCCAGCCACCCTGGCTGGTGCCGAGGGCAAAGGCCTTGCTGACGCCGAGAGCCTCCATGACCTGAAGGGCCATGATGGCCGAGTCCCAGTAGGTGAAGTGCTCGACGGGGGAGCTGGTGGCACCGTGGCCGAGAGGCTCGACGGCGAGGAGGTTGACGGCGTCAGTCAGGGTCTTGCTGTCAAACTGCTCGTTGTACAGCGACGAGGTGGTGCACATGGAGTTGATCAGGACCAGCGTCGGCTTAGAGGTGTCAACCTTGTCACCCGAGAGGCGGTAGCCGGCGGTGATACCACCGAGGTGGGGGACTCTGATGGTGGTCTGGGCAGCCATGATGTATGTACTTGGAACAACGCAGGCGGTAGGTAGGTGTGCAATGGAGCGATAAGTTTATGTAGTGTTGTTGTTGTTGTTGTTGTTGTTGTTGTTGTTGTTGTTGTTGTTGTATACGGGGGAAGCTGTGTAACCGCGTGTGCTGTCAAAGTTAGCGCTGTTTTCTAGATTATAGTTTAAACTCCGGATGCATTGGTGAGCTTCCTTACATGTAATATGTATGAGATGCAAGTGTCTGTTGTAGGAGATACCGATTAGAACTGGGGTTCCTGACTTGCACAGGTTTTCCTGGTCTTGTCGGAGGTGGGGGGGGGGGGGGGGGGGGGGGGAG